AGACGTTCTCAGTAGCGGTTATAAGCCACAGCACACACACATTATATATGTGATACACTACATGAAACTTTGGTGGTCATAGTACAAAAAAACAGTAATAAACAGAATGTAATCACATAAGACATTTAAACGTGACATTCTGAGACACGACCATAAGACGTGTGATAATCCAATGGCCTGTCTGTCTATTTTTGTATTCCTTCCTTAATTTGGCATCTCCCAGCTTGTTACCTGAAGTCTACCTCACCCGGGTCGTCGTCTTAAAAATCTGTCAGGTCTGAACCAGGGGGGAGACAGACAGGTGTACTCAGTGGTAGTTGGTTGGTTGGATGTTCCTTATTCCGCGCTCATCCAAACATGCTCCAAATACTACTGACCCTACTGACTAATTCCTATTGACAGTTTGGCATTACTTACGATCTTTGACTATGTTTTTAGTTTTGCCGCTGTTAGGCTTCTTTAATAAATCTTTGAGTTTTCTGCGTTAAACCTGTCCTCCTCTTTTGTCGCTGCCTTGAGCCGGATCGTAACACAACACAAAAGTACAGCTACGCAGCACGATCCCAAGCACGACCAAGTAAAAAGGGGGAAATCAGAGAACTGGTTGGCCTGCATGGAGCAGATTTGCATCCCGATTGGATAAAAAACAGATTTGCTTAGTCAACTGCGGCCATTTCATCAGAAGCTTTTAAACAAAGGGAAATCCCTATTATTCTGCCAAACACTTCTTCCACTCCCTCATATCTCATGCTACACAGTTGACTCAACAAAGAGCACTGACAACAATCTATAATAAAATAGCAGAAGCTTTTCCATTCACATGGGTGCTTCTCTCACATCAACTGCCCCACTCCCGAACCCAGTATGGTGTTAAAATGGCGAGGTTCAAAAACTTTCAATTTATGTGGAATTTAGGTAGCTTAACAAAAAAAAAAAAAAAACGACATAGATGCATAAAATTATTTTCATTCTTTTCTCTAGTCTTAATCTCCCCTAGTGCCAAGGGCATAGGTTTGGTTTCAGTATTGGCAGGGACCAAATCAGCCCCAAACCCAACGCCCCCCCTTAACACACACAGTACTCCCACAGTATTGGTAGAGACATGTTTCTATCATCCATATCCAAATCTACACCCTAGTCTAATGTTGCCTGCCACATGTTATGCACACCAGTCCCTCTGTGTGAGGTCATAGACATTAGGACCTTCACATCATTACATTCTGAGGCAAGTTCTTCTGGCGCAGGACTTCCTGAAGCCTCATGCTTCAAAGTGCCTTTGCAGAGCTAACATGATTAACTGACCCTGTAGGAAATTCTCCGCGGAATTGATTTCGGTATTGATTGCTGACCCTATGCTGGCAGACAGCAGTTTTATGCGCCAGGGTCGGCTGCGGAGAGACGCCTGTTTCTGAAGCACACAAAGGAACCCAAGTGCCAGCTGAAAACAGACTTCCGGAGACTGGCCATCCCATGCCACAATCAGAGTGGATGATGCGATGGATTCCTGCAACCATGGCAACGGGGAACTTATGGAGTTTGAAGTTGGTTGGCTGCTGACAGGTGCTGTTGAGGGACTGACCCATACCAACCCCCATCCCTTATCAACAGATCGAGAACTTCCTGCATTGGTGACATGGTTTTCAGACTTGCGGAGATAGCGATTCCGCCCATTAGCGTGGCCTAAAGCGACCAGGCCAACAGCCAATGGAGGCTGAGAGAACATCATATCTGTACTCTTTAGAAGCTCTAATGTCATTTAGAAACAGCAACGTTGCCCAAACAGAGAATTCATTTGTGGGTGGCAATGATGGGGCAGAAGTGGATTTAATTCCATGGTTTCATCTCTCCGTGATTCCGGTGAAATACTTTGCATTCATACTTAGCCCCATATCCGCCGTACAAAGCTTCAGTTACACAATCATTTATACTAAAAAATTCTGGTGCTAAGCACCAAATAAGTGTGAACAACAAAGCTGTTTCCCAAACAAGCTACTCAAACCACCAATTAAACATAGTTTGAATCCAAGAACATGCAAAGCTCTATTGTCTAAGGATGTGAAAAACATCCAAATGTGTTCAGATGCTTAAAAATACATAAAACCATAGATCAAGGAGCTTGGCCCTTGGATGCTGAGGCAGCTAGCTGACATGTTCAGACAGAGCAACACCTTCGTGTTATTTTTAGTTGAGAGTGGATAACGTGACAATGCTAGCAGCATCGCCCGAGGTAGGATTTGCCCGCCCATTGGGCAACAGGCTAGCAGGAAGAAACCAGTAAATCTTGCTGACCTGTGGCCACAATTTGCTAGAAAATCCTGCCTCATTTTTACGCTCATTTGTATTTTCTCCCCCCAGACTTGGGATATACCAATAAGTAGGGCTGTCGTGAACCGAGACATTTCCAAGATGTATGGATTGCTAAATTTGTGTAGGTTGGATATTAGTTTCACTTTATCTTTTTTTATTTTATTTTATTTAAAAAAAAATAAAAAAAATTAAAAAAAAAACACCTAACGCTTTTCTTAGAAGATTAACTGTTCAGTCCCTACTGGGAACCATTGTGTATGTAGGGGTGCACTCAAAGAGAAAGCCAGAGGGCCTTTGGCAATTGGCTGAAGAGGATGAAAACGCTACGACTGGGCAAGTAAACAAGATCCCGTGAGAAGCACCACGGTTCCTTCGCTGGTAATTACAGTGTCTTGAACACTGGGTGGCGTTAAAACAAGTATTAGACTACATTTCCAGGTTCGCTGAGGAAAGAGAAGAGAAGGGAAGAACCAAAAAAATAAGCCATCTGCATTATTTAACAAACACTTTTATCCAAAAGGGATAAGATGTAGGGCCTTGATCAGGAGTTCAAAGGTGAAACCACTTTGCCCACAGGGCCACAAGCCGGCCCCAAGGTAAGTTAGTGTCTGAGTGTTAGTTGTTTATGGACACTATGAGAAAACATGAAGAGGATGCCCCGTGATACTCAGGATGTAGAATCTCAGCTCGTTTCACTGAACCACTCTTTGCGCGTGACTGATACACAGTGGTCAGCTCAGTCTGTTACACCCCCTCCCCCGTCAGACAATACACCCATCGTCCCTGTCAAACATTATAGCGGGCAGAGCCCACAGTAAACACAGAACCACCATAACTAAAAATAGGTTGCCAGAGGAGACCTTTGTTAGAGTCTGCATTGTGGAGTGGGGATTCTGTCATGTGAGCAGTCTGTTGTGTGTGGATGGTTCCCAGAAATGGCGAGATCCGCTGTCATCGGAGCTGTTCACTTTGGTGAGTGTGCATGCGTGGAACGTGGCAAGAGTTTCACCAGGTGCTTCACCAGTGCCATAATTACCCCTTTCCGGTCCACCTAGAGGAACCGAAGTCTGACCCTCAGATGTCATCGTGCCCCATCGCGATTGTCTCCATTCTAATCATTTTAGTCTTGACTTCACCTTCCTTTGTCTCTCTCCCCCTTGAGATTTACAGAGGTTATCCTGAAAGGCTGGGGGAGGGGGCTGGAAGCAATGCAATATTGTACTCCCTCAGGAGATAGCCCCCCTTGTCCCCCCACCCACCCCCGAGCAACTCATGGGGCCAGAGTCTCAGCCTGCACACCTTTGATTACAGGCTGCTCTACTTAAGGGAATAATGAGAGGCCACGGATCATATTAAATATAATCAAACTACAAACAGACGTATATCCCCCGTCTAATAATATAATGGGGCCTTGACAGAACATCACTCACAGAGACTTAATAAAGCAGTAACAATGATCCTTGTTATCCTTCTAAGGTGAAAAGGCATTGCGTAATAACAGACAGAACCTTAACCTATATCCAACTCAGTGCCTACCAAAATAAGACCGCCGGGATCCTCACAGTGCCGTGTTTGTTCTACCGAGCGTGTTCTGCTGGAATGGGACATATTAAAACAACAATAATGTCTAATTGAAGACAGCTCACACGACACACCTTTTACAGAGCAGGATTTTCTAGTATATCCTGCTCCTACCAGAGCAATCAACTGTCAGTCTTCAGGGCTAACACGCTGCACCAAGGACAGGAATAGAATCTAATCTGGTGCCGTGTTACTCGTGTGAGAACTTCATATTTATTGTTGGTTTTCCTGCGACGTGTCGGAGCGAGTTACCATTACGCTGGAGAGCAGAGAGCTCCAGGTTTTAGTTCCGGTCCAGGTTTTGACAAAACACCAAAAAAGAAGCTACTGGAAAAAGCAGGTGACCTATCTACCTTCTACAAAGTTCACATAACTCTACAAATAATCATTTCACCCGACCCTGTCCATGTAAGCATGCACTTTCACTTCAGAAGACCCCACCGCCACTTCTCTGTGAGATTCGTCTGAAATGACCACCGTCCAAAGCAAGATGGTTCACCCCACATAATGTCAAGCCTGAGGTTGCAAAACCAAGCAGCACTTCTGTGTTCTAAGCCGAACACCAAGGTCTACAAGACAACAAGCAAGTCTGAGCAAACAGTCCGTGCTGAACTTCAAGCAATATAAAAAAGATTTTAAAAAAACTGAGAACAAATGCTAACCCCGTATTCAGAATGGGGTACAAAAGTATGTGCCACCCAATATTTGTGTTATCTAAAACTAAATGGGAAAGAGGAACAGAAAACTGAGAAAGAACTGTGTATCTGCAGCCAAATATAGTAATAATATGTGCACATAAGGTATTACTTAGTCGCTGGAAGAATGATAATTTCCTAAGTGACTTAATATTATTATCAGGGTGAATAATTAGTGGAGCATTTCAGACCAAAACATCTTGTGCAAGCAGACGGTCCAGCCCATCCTTGAACTTGAACCAACAATACTCTGTCAATGCCCAGCCCATACTGCGAGCAACAACTATCTGGCTATGAGTTCAGCTGGCCAATTTCAAGTCAATCTCAAGGAGCTGGAAACCTTCTTGAGTTGCACATGTATAAACAGTGGGATGCGAGATTGGCAGGAGGGTATGCGAGAAAAGGTCAAGCACTCACGGTAAGAGGCAGAGAACAGATGACAAAGATGACAGTCATGGAGGCCAGTAGTAGCAGGTGGTCCACTTCCTCCTCGCCTTCTCTGTACCAGTCCGTCATCTTCTTCTTGCGTCCCGTCGACACCACGGAACCCCGGCGTGACATCTGGCTCCTGTGCATGTGGCAGAGGCTCATGAAGACCGAGCCGTTGCAGACGAAGACCACGACGATCAGGAGAGCCATGAGGGAGGCATAGGACAGCGAGAAGGCCAAGACGTAGCCCTCGTCCTCCACGTTGGCACCGGCCTCCATCTTGATGAAGCACCACGTGCCAGGGCAGAACTGTTTATACTGGCCGTAGCCTAGGAAGGGCAACGAGCAGAAGGCGAAGGTGAAGAGGTAGATGAGCGGCAGGACCACCTTGGCGAAGCTTCGATGGACGCGCTTGGAGTAGAAGTAGGGGTGGCTGATGGCCAGGCAGCGCTCAACAGCCATGGCACACAGGATGAGCATGGAGGCCAGGATGAAGAAGGTCATGGCAAAGGCGAAGAAGCGACAGAGCCCGGGGTTGCCCGTCAGGCCGAGGAGGGAGGTCCGCTGCTTGTAGCAAGCGAACACCACCGGGCTGAGGAAGCACGTCCCCAGCAGGTCGGTGACGGCCAGCCCCGTCACCAGGATGCAGAAGACCGAGGTCTTGGCCCGGTGTTTGTGCTGGTGCCAGCACAGGATTCCCAGGGCCAGCAGGTTGCCCACTAAGCCCGCCACGAACATCAGCGTGCTCATCACCGGGTTCCCCTCTGGGTTGATCGCCGTAGTGTTCTCGCACGTCTTGTTCTCCAGCATGTTGCGAGGGGGAGGGGAAGGGACTGGGGAATGGTCGAGAGACTGATCAATCACATTTAATGGAGCGGTCCTGCGGAGAGACAGTAACCCAAAAAGTACATGAATATCTGTAGTGAAAGTAACTTTGAAGATACAAGAAGAGGCAAGTAATCGCAATTTTCACATGAAAATGCTACCATGGCGTAAAATGTAGCCATTTAGAAGATGAACATCGTTACTGTGACCTACCTCACACGGTCCACACCTGAAGAAGATGTCTCGGCAGTTTTTCCTAATACGAAAGCTGAAAAATATGCATAGATAAATTAATCATACACGTGATATACTTGTTAAACTAACATGGAATTAAATACTTCCTTGTCCACAACTCCTCATCGTAAATCTTTTTAAAAAAATACTCACCAGCCTTCGGTCAGTTTCCAACAATCAGAAACGATAAGTATGGACTTATTCCAAGCACGCTTCTGACTTTCGTGCGGTCCTCCAGTTTCTGGCAATTAAAGCCGACGCACATGACAGCATAAAATAACTCCTATCTTTTACGTGGCTTCTGGTATCGTTGTGTCTCCACTGTCCGTCGTAAATTGAAATGGTCGGTCAGCAAGTCCGGTCCGCCAGGTCTCACGCCGCCGCCTCCTCCGCCGTTCGCGGCTTGACGCGCTCCCGGAAAAATAAGCGCAGCAGCTTTTAAATGAAGTGCCGAGCGTTGGGGGCGGGAGCTGCGCTTCATAAGACCGGCGTGTGAAGAGAGGGCGGCTATTTCGACGGCTGTTCATTGTTCAGCTTGCTTTCTGATTTTTTTTTTTCAAGGGTGGAAATTTGGACAAAACAATTATATATAAACATGCGATCTTGCATAACTTGCTTATAGCGTGCATCTATTTCATGCTGTAACAAAAGGAGCCTACACTATAGAGAATTAGCAGTTTCATTGTTACTCTTCTCAGTGCGCGATAGATAACCAACATGCTGAAAATATGGTAAGCAGGGAAGTAATAAAATCACGTGATTAATAACAAAATCAATTAATATGTACTGTACAAATTATAAAGGCATTTTTATCTATATAAGCTTATATTTTTCAGTGGAGTGACAACTTACTAGGTAAATTTAAGATTGTTACAGTCAATATAATTATTACAAAGTCAATTCTCCAGTACTTTCACTAAATCTCGAAGACATTCATTTTCAGTCACAATTAAGACGCGACGTATTTCGTGGGAAACAGGGATTTCGCCATCATGAAATGAACTGCAGTTATTTGCAGGTATGTTATTAATTGACTGTAAATGGGACGTGCGTTCTTGCAGAAAACCAAGTCTCTGAAGTGGTTTCTGCAAAGAAAAGCTTGACCTTGCATTCATTTGGTGTTATCAACGGAAAACATGTTTCAAAGTGGCAAAGCCGTAAGAAAGAATACTTTTGTGATAAAACGTCGTGTTTATATTATGTTTGTGTCTGAGAATTCTCATTTTGTTTTTTTCCCACTCATGTGAGCTTTGACCAACGAGAAAGATGTACGACTCAGACATCATATACCTGAAGCTGACAATAAATTATATTTTGACTTTGAATATACGATATTAAGTGATGAGCCATCGCGTCTTACTTCTATTTCACATCGTATTAAATTACGATTGAATTCGTTGAGAAAGTTGAGATACTTTTCATTGATTCTGTTTTCAGAACTCTTTATAATGATTCGATTTGTTTGTAATGTTATTCAATTGTGTTTTATATATAAATAAAAAACAAATAGAGGCTAATTGAATTACACTAACTGTTCGGGAATGCACAAATAACCACAGCAAAACGGCTCCCTTCTTAGTTAAAGGACTGTTTGTGCTCATAGGATTATAAATGTTTGTATGACAATAGAAAATAAGTGCAGAACGCTGTTAAGGCGCGAGGACACACTCTTTTCCAAAGCACGAGGCCAGTATACCTAGATGCACGGGCGGGTCCTGGCAAGGCCAAGACGGCCAGTTGCTCAGAGCAACATCGTTCAAGGGGGTGGCTCGGATTTAGCCCAGGGCACCAAGTATGGCAGAAACGCCACAAGCATACACCTTTCAAACAGCAAGGTAGGCGTATGTTCAGCTAGGCTAACCTTCCAGTGAGTAACCAGTAACAAATGCAAGTTGGCATTGGCAGAGGTGATTCTATGGACACCGGGGGCCTTCCAACTCATTCTCTCCCGACATGGTAACACTTATTTTAGTGTAAAAACTATATTAATAGCATCTACATAGTGAATTTAATAAACACAATTACTTTATTTCCACTCTACTGTGGAAAAACAGAATACACAAATAAAGCAGATGTGTCCTCGCATTGTCCCATGTAATAAGCCCAGCTCAGGGGCCTCAGGCAATTGCCTGCCTTGCTTAATTGTCCTGTGCATTCACCTCTGGGAATTGCAGTAAGAACTATACAATAAATTACAAAACGTTGCACCAACTTAACAAGAGAGCTATTTAAATCAAAGACAAAGACAAATGCAAAAAACATGAACATCCAGTGCAGACAAGTGATCAGCTAAAGTATTTATTTAAAATGTTAATTGCTGCAGGCCAACACGGTAATGCGATACATAGGCCTATATGGGCTTTTTCAGTTTAAACAAGTGCGGAAAAAGGCTTGCAGCCGAGTTAATAGGTCGGTACCGCATGCAAGGAAGGGAAAGTCTGTGGGTATGGTGTGTGATAAGAATCCCAAATTCATTTAATGATAATGATATCAAGTTATCAACCGTCACACATTATTTAGCCTTTTTGATCCCTACTGGAGTGGGCAAGATGCCGCAATTGAGTCTCCCACAACTTAATTGTTTACTGACGCTACATCGAGAATAAGATCAAAAGTTTTAGTGGCCAAGTAAGGTGACACTTACAATAGATTTGACTTGACGTTTACAAACATACAAACATGACAGAAAACATTTATATTTAAATTAAGTAACCATTAAAGATAATGCAGGTGGTACTGCGGGGCCGGGTGGGGGGGGGGGGGGGTATAATAGTATGTTTACAAGATTCACAAGTTCTTCACCAACCGGAAAAAAAGTCTGGACCGGAAAAATTACCGGGAACAGCTCGAAAGGGCTGTTTATTTGTATGTTTAGTTTGAATGAAATGTTGCGCGAAAAGTATTTTAACATGAGCAGATCTACAGTAAATAACTGCTAAAGGACCGTTTAAAGCAGAAAACCGGTTTTAAATAAAACATTTCAATATATAATTTTTTGTTATTAACAATTGCACATAATTTTGTTATAGCATTGTAATTTATCAGGTGCGCACACATATGAAGGATATTATGACGCATTTTGACCGTAAATTTCTCAAATTACAGACGTGGCTGTAAGGTAGTGATTATCCAGTTTTGCATTGCAGTATTTTAATGCTCCAACATAGCAGAACGGTTTGGCTAGATGTGCTACATAAAAAAATCTTTTTTTTCTGATTTTACGTTTTTGCTCTCCTAATTAGTGGTGCGTTTCTAATTCCCACTGACTGGCCCAGCGCTACAGATTTGCGAAATTTAATACAACTGCGCATGTGCGGGAATGTAACCTATTCTGAAAAGTGTGGAAAATTGTAGGTGATTTTTATGCCAGTTTGACACTAAATTGCGTTTTCTTTCTCCAACCTAACGGCACCCCGTCAGACAAATTACTTTTATGAGGTTAGCTTTCTTTTGAGCAAGTTACTTAACGTAAACTCGTTCAATAAGATATCGACGTGTAGGCCTTTTATTGAATAAATAATGTATGTCTGAGTTGTGCGACGCCAGTCTCGTAAAGCATATAGCTAATACTGGGCTTGTTCTATTCACCCTATCGAACCCACTATAATGGTACAAAAAGAGGAATCGAGTGGGCAGCAAGAACTTGCATGGGTTCAATCCTCACTCCTCATGGAGGAGCCTGAAGACGCAGATGGAAGGCAGAACTTTTTTGAGGAAATGCGGTCTGTCTGTCTAATCGCCGGGAACTGACATTGACTTGGCAGCAGCTAATAACAACAGCAGCAAACAATCACAACAATACTAATAACTACTACTACTACTACTACTACTACTACTAATAATAATAATAATAGAAAAATATGGAAAGCATTTTAAATAAATAATAAGTCTAAGATAAATAATAATTAATGGATGTAATAATCAATCTAATACCAAAATCCACCACACCAGACCGTCCATGCTGGTCATTCCAAAACATTAAATCATTTAACTGCTGGAAACTGAGCACAGCAGCTGTGTGATTTATTACCTTGGGAGATTAGAGATGTGTAAGTCCTGTGAGAAACATCAGAAACAGAACACAGCAATAAATCAAATATCTATTTAATGTTAATCAGGACCATCGGAATACTCAGGATTCCCAAGCGGAAAGAGGCTGGGAATTTCATCGGAATCGGAACGTGAGTAACGGCCAGGCTGCTTTCAGGTGGGGGGCAATCAGGCACTCACACTCGCGGTAATCACAGCTACGCTTGATAATTCTATTTGGAAAATAAGAGAGTAATTCTGTGTGCTTTATAAATCGACATCAGGTCTTTCCAAATCAAATCAGACCACCATGTATGCCACATCGCTTTGATAGTGCCGGTGAGAGACACAAATATTGCAATTGCAAGGAGCAACAAATATTGCAATTGTAAGTGTACAAACAATATTATAAATAATATACAACATAGTAACAATGAATATAGTCCAACTTTACAGGCAGTTAAATACGATGGGCAGTAATACAGCAATATGCAGTGAAGGGGTGTATTGACCATGGTTCTGCATTCTGAGGGTAGTCCTGTGCATTTATAGTGTTAAAAAACAAAAAATGGCTCGGTGAGTAAAGAATGCAGACATTTAAGGGAGTGTTCATATTTATCTTGTTAAAAATAGCAGTAAAAACTATGATAGGAGTAGCTGACATGAACATAGAATAGGGAGTTTAGAATTTATGAAGCCTTCTGTTGCAGTTAAAGGCCATGGAGGTATGATACATTGCTGAAGTATTTGGGAAAAAACTGCTGGAGTGATATTTAATTTTAGAAGAATAAATTATGGGCGGGCGTTTGTAGAAGTTACATTTATAAGGATGCATTCAGGTGACAGCTGTCACGACCTGTCTGGTCTGCCCCCCCCTGCTGGCCATATATGAGTATAGCCCAGACAGGTCGTGACACCAGCTCAAATATGCAAAAATAGTTTTTCTTTCATCATGGGATTTAAACTAATCTACACCATTTTCATTAAAAAAAGTTTTTTTTAATAAGTGACTAGATTCTAGTACATTTATAATACTTCAACACTGGGACAAATGAGTAATAGCACTTAATCTACAGTTAGGCCTATACAAATACATTTACATAAAGACGGGGAAATTGTAGCACTATTCTGTTATACAAAAAGTCAACAAAATATGCAGTGTAGGGTGACTTCTAACAGCTTAACTGCAGACCTCCAAAGGCTTCTTCCATTGTAATTTAAAAGGTCTTTATTGAACGACCAGAATAGCAGTCGATTGAAGTCGATCACCTTCATGTTTCTGATCTTCATCAGGGTACAAGTCACCACCTCGGAGTCAAGCAGATGCAATAAGAAGCTTTTGTTATGCATGAATGCAGTCTTTATAGCAGATTATAAGGGGGGCAAAGTTTGGTGCTGGGAACTGTATAGGGTGACCAC